CACGTGGACCGTCCGGTCTGGTTCGGGCGGACCGTCCGTTCTGGACTTTCTGGTCCGTCCGTTCCAGCCCCTTCCGTCTCGGTTTTTCGTCGTTTTCTCTCGTGCATTTGTCCTTCCCTGCGTGTGTGACCCTGTAGGCTCATTCGACATAGCAGTATAACCTGAAATCCCTATTTCGGGTATACAAGTCATAGGCGGTCTCTAGCAAGACACTATGACTACCTATCTCGAATAGAGTTGGTTCGTGATCTTACGAACACTAGTGATGATTCCGGCTGATGATCCTTTTGTATCGCGATATCATATGTCGAACATAAGGCATGGACAAGCCACCTTATCTGATTCGACTGCTTTCTCGTTCACTGAGTTCGACTGTCTGAAATAGACGACGTTCGTCTATAGTGCGGCCACACATTTCTACAGTCTCGCTCACACGAGGGGGCCAGCGATATCTCTCTCTTTTACGAGAGGTACATGATTCGTTTCGTACCTGATATACGCCTTTATAGTCCTCCTGTTACGCAGGATGTTTGACGTAATCAAAGCACGCAACTCCTCGTGTTGGATTCCGTAGATATCTCAGGTCTTAGGATCCAATCATGGAACCGTCATATGAGATTCAAGTCATGACGCTAGTCCATGTGACAATCTCATGTGGGTCAATCCAGTATTCCGTTCTCCAACGAATACCTATGATTGTGATCGTATCCAATACTTATGATCATCTATGTGATCATCAATCACACATCATACTAGTCTTATTATGTCGTTATTCCCATAACGACACAAGACTAGGGAGTTTAGTATCATTCCTAATGATACATGGATTTCATAACAGATCTAGCATGCAAGAACATGTAATGAATAAAATACTCTCATAAAACCACATAGAAAGTATCAATACATCGAATGTATCTGAACAAAGCTCATAATCAGTACATCATAGAGCACTAAACCAACAGTATAGAGGGTGAAGTATTCTTTCTGCCTTATGTGATCAGACGAACACATCAATTGATACAGGCCCCGGATCGATTGAGGTAAGCGTTCTAACGTTTCTACAAGATTATACATTATAGGTTTTAGGATTTCATCAAAAATTTTGTTTTACATGCGCAAACCCTAAGACCGATCTCTTAGGAATTAGATTCGCTCTTGAAATCCCATGAAACCCAACAGCACCGATATGAGAGGACACATTCCTAGGATCGGTGACTGGGCTCTGATACCAAATGAAAAAGTCGGACCCTCAAAGAGTAAAGGAAAAAAACTAACCAATTATATTCACTTGAGAAAACGTCAAGTACAACTCACTTTTTGTTAGAGCTACCCAACACCCACTCTCACAATGAATTCTACTGATCAAAAACCTTACCAACCCAAACGCTCACCAGAGGAATGGAGACTTTTTCATTAGGTCTCCCCCTCAGATCCACGCCCAAACACTTACCAGAGGAAAGAGATTTGCCCAATCGGTCTCTTCCTCAGACACATACTCACTCAAAAGCGAGTGCTCTCTCACTAACAGAAACTCTCTTTAGTAAAATTTGTTTTGCTCTCCATGAGAACTAATATGCAACTTTTGTCTTCTTTATATAGGCTCCTCTAGTTTATCTTAGATCTCCACGAATTGATTTGATAGACTCCTCCTTGATTCTCTTGGATTTTATCTCTATCTCCAAGATCTCATCTTTGTCTCTATCTCTTCAAGTCTTTGACTTTATCTCCAAGATTATCTATATCTCAAATCTCCTCAAATCTTCTTAGTTTTGATTCTATCTTTATCTCTTGGAATCAAATCCAAACTTCATGGCTCTATCTCTTCAAATTGCTTTCCCTAAAATCTCTCCAAATGGTTGACATTGAGTCCATCTCAATCTCTTAGAGTCTTGACTTTATCTGAAACTCGTCAGTTGTACCTCAGATTTGTGTGAGCTCATCGCCGCATTCTTCTCCTGAAATCTCTCAAGTTCGTTGAACCTGCAATAACCACTTAACAACCAAAAAACACATGTGCAAATAATTGCACTAACATTTAAAATAAGTTAAAATAAGTTAATGATATTTTAATTTTTTTTGCATAAAAATTTTAAATAATTGATAGATTTAATTCATTTAATGAGTATATATTTTCATAATTTTTTAAACTATATTTTTATTTTTTAGATTTTTAAATATTAAATATATTTATGTCATGGATGATATGCGTCCAAACCGCCCGTAAAAAAACTGAATGCTCAGAAAAGGCCGGGCTTTCGGTCCATTTAAATAATATATTAGCCCATTTAGAAGAAGCTTTGCTGTGCACGAAAGCACAAGTGAGCCGTGCCACACAGGATTACGTGTCACAGCTTGAGACAACGAGTCTAATCACTCACTGACTCGTTCGGCAACCGAATTTCCTCTCTTTCATTTGAATTGAATCAATTCCCCAAGAAAACTCTGAGCAAAGGTAGTAGAAAATACACTATCGTCCTGTACGATTCGTCGCAGCTGAAGCTATTTCCAGCGATTTTTTCTTGCTCTGATACATGCATACAACGACTTGAAGCTTCTCCCCATATTAGGGTTTCTGCAAATTTCTCGACTTTTTCCTGTTCATTGCTGTGGCAGTTGTTCTCTCCCTGCCTAGTTAGTCCCATCTTTTCGTTCGGAGTACTGAGCTATGAACGATGGGTACTGGAGCCGGCAGCAGCGACAGCCACCGGCACCGGCGCCGCGACCGGTGGCCGCCTCCGGTGGGATCCATAAACGTCCTCGTAACGACTACGGTAAGCTCAAGCTATGTCCAGAGTCTTCCGTTTCCTTTGGTCGTGAACTGTTCCTTGCTGTGGAATGAAGTGGGAACTGATTTTGTAGTAGGGTTTGGGATCTTGCGAATTGGGAATTTGATTGTCCGATAACGGAAAAGAGACTTTAGGGTTTTCTCTTGCTAGTCGTTATAGACGTCTAGGTTCTTCAACAAGTCATGGTTTTCGAATTTGTTCTTGGAGTTTCTGGGTCATCACCATTTACTTATCTCGAGCTCAAATCCCACTGGTTTTGTCGTTTATCTCCTAGAAACTATCCTTGTTATAGATTTTATAGATGTGAGATGTTCAGGATGAATGCCTGTGAGACTTTTGCAACAGAGAAAAATGGAGATAGGTGTAAAGAATTTGTGCAAATTTTGTGTAGTTTTAGTCTCTCATGGTGAAATTGTCTTTGATTCTGGAAACACATCCATTTATAGCCGCACATACTGATATACTTAGCTCTTTATACCCACAGTTAATTCTTCTAATACGCTCTAATAAAGGCAAAAAGGATGTTGGCATGGTACTATGTTTGTAACTTGAACTTCACAGCTTATGTTTTTAGTATAATTTTATGAAACCGCATCACAGATCTTCCCCCATCCGCTATCCCTCCCGGCCGTGAAGTGCATGGGTATATGCCGCATGATGATGACCATGGTGTACTCCGCCCTGTGAAGGACACGAAAAGCATTGACTCGGCATATGATCTTTACCTGCAGAACACGGTACTCAATCTAACACTAAGCACGCTTCTGGTCTCAAAGTTCCGTTGATGTTTTTCTTTGCTGAAGCGTATATCTCAAAATTTGTCATAGAAACTTTCGTCTTCAACATCCAGCGAAGCCAATTCGTTTGGTGGAGTTAGTTCGGGAAGGCCAGCTGGTGGCGGAAGGCCTGGCATTCCTCCCATGGCCGATTCCGTTATGGGTCGGCCAGGATTTGTTAGCCCGGATCTAGCACCAGATGGTCCATCGGTTGGTTTTGGTGGCAGATCCCCTATGGATTCACGGGGAAGGCCAGGCCGTGAAGGAATATTACCTCTACCTCCTGATGCGTCCAACACGCTGTATGTAGAAGGGCTTCCCCCTGACTGCAAAAGGAGGGAAGTAGCTCGTATCCTTTCTGATACACGAGGTGGAATTGTTTTGTATGGTTGTGTTTGTCTTGTGACCTCTCCCTTCTACTTGTTTCTTGCTAGTGGTTCCTTTACCGAAAAACCTCAGATATCTTTCGCCCATTTGTGGGGTATAGGGAAGTGAGGCTCGTGAACAAGGAAGACAAACATGTGAGTGTTTCTTTCTTGCTTAAACCTTTTGTTTTTATCATCTCTTTTCATATTCAGTTCTTCATATCTGGTACTTGATCAGTCTCGATTTGCTGAACTAGTGATGCCCTGTTAACGCAGAGAGGAGGTGATACTGTCCTCCTATGCTTTGTTGATTTTGAAACCCCAGCTTGTGCCGCAACTGCCATGAGCGCATTACGAGGTATGTTCTGTTTCTTGAGGCCTTCTTCTGACCTCCTCCATTTTCATTCCGGAAGATCATTCCCTCCCTAAGCACAGTGTATGATTACAAACTGACGGTGGTCGTCAAAGGCCATGCAGATCTTTCCTCCTTACATTTTTGGAAAAAGGTTCCAACTTGCACTTATTTTCACACTGATCGACATCGTTCTCATAGAGCAATAGCAAATAACCTTCCTTTCTTAACTTGTCATCCAAGAACCAAAACATATATGTTTCTTGATTCATGACCAAGACTGGAACTTTTGTCATGCCCTTCTTTGATCCGCCTAGAATCACAAGATATGAATTGAAATCGAATTTCCGATGATTTTGCAGGTTACCAGGTGGATGAAACCGACCCCGAGTCCAAAAGTCTCCGGCTTCAGTTCTCCCGGAATCCAGGCCCGAGATCCTCTTCCGCTGGCCATCGTGGTAAACGGTAGAAGGCTGAACAAGCTTTTGGTCGGATGGCGTGTTAACAGTTAAAAACCGAAGTGGAATCTCGAGAGTGTCTGAAGATTGACATGGATGGTTTTGGACATTACAGATATCTTCTGAAACATTCCTCTCAGTTGCTTTTACTTCTGTTACTGGAATCTCTGGTCCTAAGGAGGATCCTCTTGTAGTTGTACCATGTTTTTTTTTTCCTTTAGGTGGTCATTATTAAAAAAAAATGTCTTTTTTTAAATTTTTATTTGCATGAACAATCTGCTCCCCGTGTATATTTGAAAGATTTTTTTTTTTGGTAAAAAGTGGCTTGAAAGATTTGTTTCTTCTTCTATTCTAATTGTATGGTGTGATTTTTATTTGATTTTTTTGGTAGGGTTTAATCCTATTTCAGTTTTGTTTCTGTTTGTTTTTTACTAATTTTTTATATAATCTAAACGGGTAGCTTCATTTCTTATGTGATTTAGGGTTCGAGCAGCGGTTGCGGTTGCGGGTGGCAGCGTTTTCAAAACGTTTGATAGTGATTATAAATGATTAGTACTGACTGGTTGAGAAGTTGTTGTTGGTAGCGATTGCGGGTGGGTGCAGTTAGAAGTGAATGGTTCATTACGGTTGCGATTGCGTTTTGATATAAATTGTCAAAAAAAATATTATTTAAAAATAATTTTTTATAATAGTTTTAATTAAAATTTTTGTATCATTTTATAAAAATTATTTACTAAATTTATAATAATTAAATAATAAATTTAAAATATAAATATTATCAATTTAATTTATTTCAAGTAAAAAAATAATTTTATTATAAAAATTATTAAAAATAATCATTATTAAACCTAAAAATTATACTATTATATTTTTTTTATTAAAATATAATACTAAAAAATAATATCAAATCATAACACTAAACAAAATCATCACCAATATATATATATATATATTTTATATAATTTCTAATAAAAATATTTTAGTTTTTTTGTCAAAACGCCGGAAACCGCTACTAAAACGCAAGTTGGAAGCTGCGATTAGAAAACACAAGTTTGGTTGCGGTTGCGGTTGGTTGCGGTTCAACCAATCAGTTTTTCAATCGTCCGCAACCGCCAGAAATCGCAACCGCTCCGTTTGCGGGTAGCGGCGGTGCAACCAGTCGGCCCCTTAGAGAAACTAAGACCATTTAACGAGATCGCGAGTTAAGTAGAGATTTGTAATATATAAAATTGGTGATATTTATCGACGACCAAAACACACACACAAAATATATAATTAAGCTTTATTTTGATTGACCCTATAAATTTTTCGTTTTTATTCGTTTCGATTTTAAATTAAATTTTATGAGAATTAGAGTATCTCCAAATTGTTAAATTTTTTATTTTTATTCGTTTCGATTTTAAATTAAATTTTATGAGATTTAGAGTATCTCCAAATTGTTATTAACGAGTCATTCTCAAATGAGTCTACATCTCTTCTCTTTTCAATTTCATTTCTATACTCCCTACTTTGGAAAACTTCTAAAATACCTTCAATGTGCTACAAAGACTTCTAGTCCTACCTTCCTTTAAAAGAAAATTCAACTTCTAATCTACCCTCTTTATTATTAGATTACCAAAATAATCTTATAATATTATTTTATATTTAATTTTTTAATTAAAAAAAATCTCTCCCAGAGAAACCCTAGTTTCTCTCTCCTCCCTTTCTTTTTCGATGTCTCTTTCTTCCCCTTTTTTTCTCAGTTTCTCTCTCCTCCTACCATTAGTCTCGACCAAGCTTTCTCTCTCGTCTGTGTTTTCTTTTTCCTCTTCATCTTACTATTTTGTCTTAAAATTCTGGCAAAATTGGGCGAAATCAGTGAGACAATTAGAAATACGCAAGCTACTGTCAAAATGCCGGTTTTTTTATACACATTGGTGGTTTTTGCGATTTTTTCTTTTAATTGTTGTTGTTTCCGTTGTTTTATCGTTTGTAATATGTTATAGTCATAGATCTGTGTCGTATATGCATTTTAGGAATTTTTAGAGCATCCATGATAGTTAGCACGAGTATATGGATCACAAAGGTCACAATGTACGAACTGCAGACGGGTCACAAAGGTCACAATGTACACAACAGTCACATTGTCACATGTTTTTTTCAATGTGCCTACACGGTCACACGATCACTTAGCCACATGTTTTTTTGGGTCATTAGGATAGTGAGTCATATATGTCAAAATGATTACAAAGTCAAATAGTCACATTATCACTTCACATGGTCACATGGTCATATGATCACAAGGTCACATAGTCACATGATCTCATTGTTCAGAATGTTCGAATTGATCTTCGTTTTTAAATTGTGTTTTCCACAGTTATGATGGACGAGCCCCCGATTGTTGTGAATGGATCATCGATGACCTAGATTTTGCAAATCTTGTGGTTTTGTCTCCTATAGTAGAAGAGAAACGAAAATGTGGAAGGCCTAACAAAATCGGTATCATGTTTTGGTGAAGGCCGAAAGAGAATCCATTATGCAACGAGAACATCAACATCGGCAACGTCAGAGAGAACGTCTAATTTGAAGTGAAGAAAGAGACGAACTTTGTATAATAATATTGTACTGTATTTGTATGATAATGTGTTAAAAAATCTTTGTATAACAATGTTCAAAAATCTTTATATAATAATATTGTGTCGTATTATGTTTGTATAATAATGTGTTAAAACCTTTCTATCATAATGTGTTAAACTAATTCTTAGTAAACTTAGTTATCCAATAATTTTTATGTATTTTTGCATATACGTGACTCGTGTTACATATTAAATAAGTTAAGTTATATGAGTCATTGTTGTGACCCATTGTGATCGGTATGTGACCATGTGATCGAAGTGCAATTTTGCACTGTGTGACCATTGTGACCGACTGTGACCCGTGACCAAAATGTGTTGACAAAATAGGCCAAAATTTAATTTTTAAGCTTCGGGGTGGTTTATCAGAGTCTATATATCAAATATATAATGTGTGTGAGTAAATTTCAAAATATTTTAAGGGATTTGTAGAAGAAATATACCAATTTATCAAAAGTACTCATAAAAACACTATAAAACATAGGAACACATTTAGAAAAACAACTTTAGAACACAAAAATCGCAAAAATGATATTTAAATGTTCGAAACAATATAGAATAAGCTTATGAGAGATGTGTGACTTTGTAGAGTGATTAAATTGACAATAATCGCATGGATTGAAGCTTGTGACCGATTGTGATCCATTATGACCGAAATGTGTTATGGGACCCACACGAAAAACTAGTCAGAATTTCTCCAAATTTTTGTGTTTCAAATGGTACCCACAATCATTATTTTATTTTTTGCTTTTACCATGGGGCCTAGGTTGAATATTCAACCCTATTTAATTTTTTTCTTAACCCTATATTTTTTCTCTCCCAATTTTTAATCCCAAAATTTTTACCTACAACATTTTCAACCCAGATTTTTTTGTTAAACATTAAAAAGTTCAGATTTGTGTTAAAAAATAATACCACAAATCGCATACACCATATTTTAACATTAAAAATAATACAAAAGTATACATATGAGAGATGTGAAAGCATCCACGATGATTAAACTGAAAAAATCTCATAGATCGAACCATGTGATCAGTTGTGATCTATTGTGACCGAAATGTGTTACGGAATCCACACGAAGAATTCATCAGAAAAACGACATAGATTTGTATTCGGTGAGTCTCAACCTAGATTTTTCCTACAATAATTTTAACCTAGATTTTCTCTAAAACATAAATAAGTTTAGTTTTTTAATAAATAAAAACTAAAAATAAAAATTCATAATTTAGGATACTACCAAACAAATAAAAAGATATCACAGTTAGGGTTCAAAATAATATAAACAAAGCATTTAGAGAAATAAAAGTTCATGCTTTCTTCTTCCGTTGAAGTGTGATTCTAGATCACCCAAAGTTGTCATGTCTCCCGATTCTATTCATCCGTTGATCAACTCTATGAACATGTATTACACACTAAGTAGTTGCATCCTATATAGGTCATGAGATAATACGGGTTCAGAGTTATACATCGCCTCTTTCATGTGCTACAAAATAAAATAACTTATGTCAGCAATATTATCCAGATATCACCGTGTGATACTGTGACCGTGTGACCATGTAAATATGTGACCGTGTGACTATGTCACCATGTGACCGTGTGACCTTGTGACCGTGTGACCGTGTGACCATGTGACCATGTGACCATGTGACTATGTGACCGTGTGACCATGTGACCATGTAAACTTACAATATATGTTATCTATATTCCGTGTGACAGAAGCTCTTTCTAGAAACTTGGACTCTGTAATGCATCCAGTCATTAGAAATCATCCTCACAAATTCCACCGTCACAGTGGAAGGACGTTGAATTCTTCTCTTTCAAGAAATTTTGTGCATTGGGGAGAAGAAGGTTCATTCATAGAGGAAGAACTGGAATTTTTTCACCTTTCTTACCTGTTTGCATGGAATCGCCTCCTCCGACATAGATCCGCCAGAAAGCTCAGGAACTCCAAACCAAACCTGCCACCGAGTTCTTCCCATGGTTTCAGACATATGCAACTGTTATCGCTTAGCTTCTCTCATCTATAACCTCTAGCCTAAAAATTTTCAAAAAACTGAAAGATGACATCTCCAGACATTAGGGTTCTATTCTATCCTGTAGACCGTGATTGCTTTTGTCCTCGGGTTTGGAGCATCGGGCTTACACAATAGGAAATCTTCTCCTTGTCTAAATTAGAGGAGAGAGAGCGTTGAAACATGAGTGAGGAGAGAGAGAGAGAAAATCGTGAGTTAGAGGAGAGAGAGCGTTGAGACGTGAGTGAGAAGAGAGAGAGAAGACGTGGGTGAGAAGAGAGAGAGACATTACTATTTCGCCATTCCACCGTCGTTTCTTTTTCTTTTTTTTATTTCAGTTTTTTTTCAAAATTTAACATAAGGGTTTTTGGTCTTTTCATAAATATTTGAGGGTTTTGTGTCTTTTGCCATGCTAAAGAGTGTTTTTTGTTTATTTTTTTTTCAAGAATAGTATCAGAAGTCTGTTGGGTTTTCCTGGGATCTCAAGAGCGAATCAATTCCTAAGAGATCAGTTCTAGGGTTTGCGCAGCGGATGTAAAACAAAAATTTTGATGAAACCCTAAAACCTATCATGCATGATCTTGTAGAAACGTTAGAACGCTTACCTCAATCGATCCGGAGCCTGTATCAATTGATGTGTTCGTCCGATCACTGTAGGCAGGAAGAATACCTTGCCCTCTACACGTATCCACACGGCGGAAATGATTCCAACAATTGGAACTCGT